CCACCATCCAACAAATGCTCACTGAGTACCTGCTACAAGCCACTTTCTTGCTCAAAGAACTCAAAAAGTTGTTTGTACCTATTGGAAATGATGCTAAGATCCTCTGCATTTAAAAGTGTTGCTGGAAATGATGCTAAGATCCTCTGCATTTAAAAATGTTGTACCCAATGTTTGGAATGACACCATTACCCCCATTCCCCATCCCTGCTTGTCAATTTGGCCAACTCCTGTGCATCCCTCAAGACTCGGCTCAGGGCAGGCTGCTCAGTGTAGCTGCCATGATTCCCCAGGGCTGGCTCAGTGGGTCCTTGGCTGATGTAGCCACTGCCTGTTGTCACCAGCCCAGTAGTGGGTGACCATACTGGGTTGACATTATTCCCAGGGGCCACTCTCCGAACTCTAAGTTCCTTTCTGACCTGCACTCTATGCCTCCGCCTTTGTATATCCGGTGAATACTGCATGGTTGTTGTCACCAGCCCAGTAGTGGGTGACCATACTGGGTTGACATTATTCCCAGGGGCCACTCCCCGAACTCTAAGTTCCTTTCTGACCTGCACTCTATGCCTCCGCCTTTGTATATCCGGTGAATACTGCATGGCAGGTTATCCGCAAACGTTTGCTGAGAAGTGGAAGGAAGGAAAGAAGGAGGGTCAGTGACCAACTGCTTCTTTCCTCATCATTGAACAAGCAGTTACCAGCAGGCACTTCTCATACATGTCAGGCCTGTGCTGGGAGCCAAGGCAGCACCTGCACTTGTAGACGAGTCCTCAGGATGGCTGTGAGACATCGGGGTAAAGAGTCGAGGACAATTCCAGGAGAGCAGGAACTGGGAAAGTTGGGTGGAAGCTACTAAGGTGATGGGGCCCCACCCAGAGCTGTGACAGGAGGAAGGCAGACACATGGGTTAGATGGAAGAGACTTTATAGGGCAGTATCAGAGCAAAAAGCCCTGGGTAGGGGCTCTTCAGGCTCATTTTCATATCACTGTGTCAGTTTGGGAATTCAGTGGGATGAAAGGCCGGATGTCAGGAGGAAGACTAGACAAACAGCTCGGTCAGGCCTCTGGTGGAGAAGACAGGGCTCCACGATCCACTTACCTGGGCAGGGCAAAATGTTGCACTCCTGGTATTCCAGGGACGGGCCCAGGCAAGGCATGCCCCCGTACTTGGGCTCGGGGTTGTTGCAAACACGCTTCCGGTTCCGAATGCCCCTGCTGCAGTCGCGGCTGCACTGGGACCATGACGTCCAGGCTGACCACGCCCCGTTGACGGTGTGAGCAGAGTATCTGCCAGCACGCAGGAAATCACCAGAAAGCCCTGCCAAGGACACGGCAAAAGTGTGATTCTGGTAGGAGCTCTCAGCATAACCACAGTCCAGGCTAACTTTCAGTCAGGATCAGCTGTCTGCTTTATTTCTAGAACTACCTTCTCAAGTTCAGTGCAGCCCTTTTCACACTTCAGAAGCCAAACATTTCACAGTTGAGTGATAATCTCCTATAACTCAAGCTTCTTTCCCACAGTCGCTCTTAAATAAGAGTACAAATAAGAGCTCCACCTGTGAAGGTGGTGAAGTCCTCACGGTTAGGAGGTCTGATATTTGTAGTTCATTTGTGTTTTGGAGAAATAACTTCTTACAAAGAAAATACAACTTTCTCGCTTCCCTTGTGAATTATACAACAAACTGCCCTCATACGCAATGGGGTAGTGCTCCTGATGAAGGAAACCCATCTGGGAAAATGGAAACACGATTCAGACATTTTCTAAGCCTCTTCCTTCACCTGTTAAACTTGAAAACATGAATGAACTCTGGTGAAAGGTGACCAGTTAACTGCTCCTGAATCACAGGCTCTAGAGACACCTGTTTCCTCCACAGAACCATGCTCCGAAACCAAACACACCCCTGAATGTCCTGGCCAAATTCAAACATTACTATGAAGTTCAGAGCAAACTTACTAATAAAATCTATTTTCCCAGGAACCAATGGAGCAGCAGCAGTTGGGGTGCTGGAGGTGGGAGGGGTGAGTGTTGGGAATCACAGCTTATGAGCTTTGAATATTGACTAGATGTCACATCTGCTGAGTATTTTAATTTGTTAAGTCATTTACATAGCCATAGTCAAAATTTGTTTTGATGAACATACCCACCCACTTACAATATTAGAAAATACTGAATACTTTTCTCAAATGTAAGCGATGTGACACACGTTTTAACCAATAACTCTCAAAGTATACAATGAAGTTCTGGGGAAGCGTGGTCATGAGAAGACAAATTTGCCAACAGCTCTCTATGGTCGGCCTTCTGTACCTGCGGGTTCACATCTGCAGATTCAACCAACCACTGATTGAAAATAATTGAAAAAATAAATAAATAAAAAATAATAAAACAAGAAAAAGCAATACAAATTTTAAAAATGTAGTACCATAATTACTTACAATGGCATTTGCATTGCATTAAGTATTATAGATAATCTAGAGATAATTTAAAATATATCAGAGAATATGTGTGAGTTATATGAAAAGACTCCATTACGTTATATCAGAGACTTGAGCATCCATGGACTTTGTTATCTGCGGGGGATCCTGGAACCCATCTCCTGCAGATTCTGAGGGGCAACTGTACATTGTTAAGCAACTTTGTTGTTTACTTAGAAACTGTCTCCAAAACACAGGCAGGATACACTTCAGAGACAGTGGGTTAGAAGTATCTATCTGTTTTGAGCCAGTATTTTGTAGTTAATCGATAAAGAATAGCTATGCACAATTAAGCTTTATTTCATGTGGTCAGAAGCAAACAAGTCCAATTTTGTATTTTCAAGATATCAATACCAAAACGTGAGCATGATCACCAGAAAAGTCATTAAGATGCAGGAAGGATAAAGTTCTTCTAAGGCCCTGTCCATGATATGCTTTTGGAGGAAATATAGGCCATCTTTTATAAATGTGTATTAAATTTGTCCTGAGTTCATATTATTAACATTTAAAACAAATATTAGCTTTGGTTTTATACATATCTGAGAATGAAAGAAAAAATATATTTATAAAAAATATAAGGAAAAAGACTAAAGTTAATATATAGAGAAATATTATCATTCATTTTCTCTTTCTCACTTTGATGTCATGAGAAATAAGGCAGTTCGGAGCCCACTTTGAAATAAAAGAATACGTGAATAAATTGGAGATAAGGTTGCCAAATTTAGCGAATAAAATACAAAAACCTCAGTTAAAAAAAGCTGCATACGGTATAGTTATATTTAAAAAGTTATATGAGACATAGTGATCCTAAAAAAGATTCATGGGACATAATTATGCTAGAAAACAGTTCTGAAAAATATCTGAAAACAATTCTGAAAAATATCTGAAATTCCGATTTCAATTTTTTTTTTTAGTCATTTAAATTACTTCTTTATTGTGGTTCCTTTTTCTTTTTTATCTAGCTTGCTGTAATTCTGACTTTATTATTTATTTATTGAAGCATAATTAAATACACATATTTGTAAGTTGACCATCCATAGTTGTGTATAGTATGTGATGGTCAGATGAGGACAGTTAGCATATTCATCATGACAATACGTAATCATTCTTTGTTCCCATTAAACCAATTTCTCATTAATCTCTCATTAATTCCCCTTCCTCTCTCTCTCCCCCTGTTCTGTTCCTTCTAAAAGTTCAATGTATAGCAGCATGGATGAGCTTGGAGAAAATAATGTTAAGTGAAATAAGCCTGGCACAGAAAGTGAAATACCGCATGACCTCACTCATAATTGGGAGCCGAATAAATAAATAAACAAATAAATGGTAAAGAAAGAGAAAGTTAGAAAGAAAGAAAAAACCATCATATTTCAATCCTTGTATTTTATCTCACAACATTAACTGGAGATCACAAGATCATCTCTTGTGGAATGTAGATCTTTAAATTGATTCTCAGTCATCTTTCTCTTGGTATTTCATCATATGTCTTTTCTTATAACTAAAACAAAATTTTTTATGAAATTAACAAGAGTATCATTTTGTTATTCATTTTTCTGCGTGGGTGGTGTTTTTTTAAATTTAAGTTGTTTATTTAATCACATAAAACGCTTTAACAAAGCAGACGTTTCTTTTTCTCAAGAAACTACAAGCTTGTGTAATCATTAAACTATAGTTAACAATGGTTTGAGGTAAGGAGAGAGTTAACATCAGCAAAACAATATGAGAAAGCATGCTTGTAAAGCAAGTGCTTTGACCACAATGGCGGGGCCTCCCAGCATCCAGGTGTTCACCAGCTCCCAGGAGGTGTGGGGATCTGTGACATGAGAGCAGCTGGTGGCCGTCACACAGAGCTTTCCTCACTGAAGGAGGAACATTGAAGAGACTTACTACACTTCTGTGAATTTATTCCACCATGTCTGCCCAATGTGACAACTCACTGCTCAGTGGCATTTGTCAAGGCCAACCACTCTGGGTCTTCTCTAACAGTGCCTGTCCTTTCGATGCCACAGTCACATTAGGAGAATAAAGTAGAATCACAAACACAAAGATGCTGAGGAATGTTTAAGAATGGTTTCGTGCAAGCTACAGCTATCACTGTTTTCATTGAACCATGTTCCAAGGACCCATCCGTGAGTGTCTGTTTCCTTTTAAGAATTGGAAGAGAGTTTGTCCAGTTAGATGTGAATATACAGAGAGATGAAGACCGAGGCAAAGAACGAAGCCCCTGGGGACCGCCAGGCTCAGTCCCTTTTTCTGCAGTCGAGAACCCAGAGTGAGATAATCGTACAGCATTAGGTGCAGGCAGAGGCCAATCCGGCTCCTACGTCAGGCTTCCCCATGCCATCAATATGGCATTCAAGGGCTTACATAATTAGGGGGGGCAACACAATGTCTTCAATCCAATCTCAAGTTTCCAGGTGTGCAAAGAGGCCAAAAGACATAACTTATTATGAGGAGAAATATCCGTCTATTGAAACTAATGCTGAAATGACACAGATGACAGAATATGTAATTCAGGAACATTAAAAGAGTTATTATGACTTTATTCCATATGTTCAAGGAGCCAGAAGAAAGACTGAACACATTAAGTAGACCTGGAAGATTAAAGGAAGTAACTGTAACATATCAACTGTATGTAACATTCCCAGATAATTGCCAACACGTTCTATGAGACCAACTTTAATCTGATATCAAAACCTGACAAAGACATTAGTAGGAAAGAAAACTACAGGTGTGTATCCCCCATGACCTTAGATGCTAAAATTTTTAACAAGTCAAACCCAAGAATACATAAAAAGATTAATACCTCATTATTAAGTGGGGATTATGTTAGAGATGCAAGGCTGGGTTAACACTGAAATTCCATTAATGTAATTCACCATATTAACTACCTAGAAAGTAAACCCATATGATCGTCTCAACAGATGAAAAAAAATCATTTGATAAAATCCAACTGCTCTTTATAAAAATTACCAATTAACTAGAAATAGAAATAAATTTCCTAAATCTCATGAAGAACATGTACTAAAACATACATGCAGCATCATTCTTAATAATTATGGTTTGCCTGCTTTCCTCCTATGATCAGGAACAAGGCAAGGATGTCTGCCCCACTACTCCTGAAATTATGGTGCAGGGTCTAGCCAGGGCAATCAGGAAAGAAAATAAACAAAAGTTATCCATATTGTGAGGAAGAAGTAATTTTCTCTTTAGTTACAAACAATATGATTGTCTATGTAGAAAGTGTTATAGAATTCACGAAAAAACTACTACAGGTAATTAATTTATAAAGACTGAGAATCAACACAAAATATTATTTCATTCCTATGTACTAGCAAAAGTCTTAACTGTGTTGATAGTTTCACGTAATAACTTCGTATAGCATACATTATACGAAGTTATACGATTATGGCCACACTTCTAAAGATCTTTGTCAATGCATATAAAATAACACTTACATCATTCTGCATGCTTTATTATAAAACAAGAGAGCTGCTCTATCCTTTTCCCATCTCTTACAGTTGGACGTTTTGATGCTTATCTCCATAGAACTAACAACTTGAATACTGATTAAGCATTGTCCATAATTATTTACTATTTATTATTTATTATGGAAAACATTTTATTAACTAAGCACTATGAAAAAGGAGGATTTAGCTCTTTAATCCCTACTCCACTTTCTCTGCCTCCCACAGTATTGCTGCCTTCCCATATCCCATTGTCTTAATGTAGTTACTCTGTAATTGTGGTTAGATCGAAATCAAGTGTTTGCAATTATCACTAGGTGAACACCACCCAAACCAAAGAGAAGTGAAGTGGTCAACTGTGCTTGATTTATATTTCTTGTCC